AAACAATCCCACCTGACAGGCCTTGGAAAAGGATGGGCAAGCATGAGGGAACACAAAAGGGCATACAAGGGAACATGTGAAAGCCAACCAAAGGACAGGAGGAATGAAAAAGGTAGAAAGGTCTCTGGGTGAAAGGACTGAAATTCAAAGATACTGTAGTTAGTCATTTAATTTTTTTAATTTCTGAAGTAATCCGTGAGTTATCTTTTTACAAACCTTCAGTAAGGACTAGGGTAACCTGTGCATTCATTCTTCACAGAGCTTGAGGCATTGCAAACAGATGTGAGGTCTATAACTGAACGTGATGCTTGGAAAGCTTTCTAGGAAAAATATCTGTGGCTAAAGGCACCTTAGATGGCAACAGCTTTCCTCAGCCACACTTTAAAATAACATAAGCTCCACTGGAGCACAATTACAGACAGATGAATACTAACACCAACATTCAATTTAATGGAAAAAACACAAGCTGTAAAGTGAATATTGAAGTCTCCCTAAGACACTTGATACCAACTGAACAATCACACTGTTCTAGTTAAGGCCACTTGTTGGAAATCCACAGATCACTAATAGAAAATAAAGCTGCCTGGTAAGGAATCGCTGCACAGAAGAAACTGTCATCAAGCAACACCCTATAATATATGGAAGCAATGCAAGTAACACTATACATTTCATATTTCTGTTTTTGGGCACAATTCATCTACTACACAGTTACCATCCATTACGTAAGTAATGTGAATATGTATCTGTGCTGTTTTTTGCTACAGCAATTATCAATATCATTTTATCAGTGAGAAGCTTCAGATACAAAATCAGCTATAATGAAATATTTTATACGGTGCTATGAATGTGCAATTAGGATGTAAATACCAGTCACATGATAATATAATGTGCACGACCTAGGTGTCAAGCACTTATTAAAGTCAACAGCTTATTCTAACGTACCCTCAGCTTTACCCCTATTTTGGATTGATGTCTTGTAATTCTGAAGTCATATTAGAAGTTATTGCTGAACATATGCTATTTTGATTTAGCCATGTTTTCCCAGGACCTAATAAAAAATAATAAATCCTGGAAAAGCATTACTTTTTATTTTAAAACAAGGTGGTGGCTTAATCAATAATAATAATTTTCCAAGTCAACATAATATGCAATTGTTTTCTAGTTTTAAGACCTAAATTAAAGTACTATTTTACCACTTAACTTTTATTCATGTATTTGTAGCAAGTTGCTAGTTTCTCAAAAACATCCAATAGTAAACATGTATATTGAATGTTACGTTTATAACCCCTTTAAAAGGTGACAATGATTTGATATTATAATTAGGCAAATGCCTCACCCTGCCTCTATCATCAAAAACAGTAGCTCTGTTCTATGTGTTCTTATCAGAAACAGAGCTGAGCATCTCCACTACAATGACGTATCTGGCTCACAGACATGACTACAAGGACATTCCACCTGCATTTATAGATAAAGTCCTGAATATTTTTATGAGCCAGACACAATAACAGTGGGAGATGCTCAGATGGGTGGGGGATAGGAAACATCTGCTAAATTTAAATATCAAAGTATAATTACTCTTTAATAAGGAGGAGCATTATGTTCTTCCAAGTTTAGACTTGACACTATGCACAGCACAGGTTTGCATATTAGAAAACAAAAGATGCTGTTCTGCATATTACATTTGGTATGGGTTAAAGAAGACTTCAGCTATACTAAACATGTCTCAGCAACCAATTCTAATGTCTGTTCAATTTACCAAAGCAGGAGCAGAGAAAATGTTGTTCAGGCATAGGCTGACAACACTGATTAAACAAATATGCTGAGAAGGTAAGATCTACAGATTGTCCAACATACATACCTACCCCGCACGTGGGTGTTCCCAAAGAATTGGTACAGCACAAGTAGCTTATACAGCACAAGTAGGTAAAATGGATGTTGAGAGAAATAAATAACTCTTATCAGTTAGATTGTTTTGTCTAAAGCTGTCTTATGTGGGCATCTTACTGGCTGACTGAGATAAATCATGGCTCTGTTATGTATCCACATGGTATCCCCAGAGTCCTTGCCTTGTGCTTCCTTTCCATTATGTCTGTGTTCCCTTTAATTGGATTGTATACTGCAAGCTCACATTCAGCAGTCAGTGTGGATAGGAAAGCAATTTTATGACAGAAGAGACACACAACTCCCCTTCTGCCTTTAAACTCTACCTGCTAACATTTTTTTCTACTTTATGGTGCATCTAAACCCAAGAATAAAAAGTTAACCCTGCCAGTAACACACTTGTAGTCCAAGGGTAACAATACTCATGGTGCTGTATGTATGAAAGAGTAGTTTTCTTACCCTAGCAGAAGAAGTTTGTTAGGGCTACAGAATACCCTCCTCTCTCATCTCCACAACATAGGGGAAATGGGCTCTGCAGTCCACAGAGAGAACTGGGATGGATGCCAACTGATAACAGTCAGCACAGAAAGTTATCAGCTTAAAGGATTTCTGACAGGACCAATAGGTATAACAAAGACTTTAAATGATATATTTAACAGACCAAAAAAGGAGCATATAAGAGAATTGATACATATGTTAAAGAAGAACTCCAGGGAACTCTTTTCTTAACCCTTGTAGTGGGGCTACCCCCACACTGCAAGATTTAATGCTCGTTTTTGCCTAGGTTCAAAAATACAAAATTATACTCACCCGAAGCGCCAAGCTGGCCAGCTGTCACAGCGCACCCTCCAGCCTTCCTCCTCCACTGCAGCATTGGAATCTTCCTCAGCGTCCTCATGTCTATACACTGTCTAGAACGTGATGATTTTTGGGACCTTAGACAGCTGCAGAGGAGGGGGCGAAAGGCTCTAAGAACAAGCCAGCTCAGTGCATCAGATGAGTATAACTTTTTTTTTTAACCTAGACAAGAATGAGCAGTTAACCCTCGAAGTGCAGAGGTAGTCCCAAGGTTAAAGGATACATATATTTGAAGTGTAGCCACCTTGCCCTAAGCGGGGTGACTCCTTACATTTAATTCTGCTGGACTGCATCCAGTCCAAGCTGATTTAATAGTTCTCTGCTCAGTTTCCCTTAAGCTCAGTGTTATCGTTTATATTTGCCTGCTGCTGGTTGTGACCTTGCAATAGAGCAGAACATCCTACAATGCTTTGTTATAGGTTTTTGATCTCCCAAGCCAATCACTAGGAGTTTCATGGCCAGTGGTGCATGCTCAGGGAGGACATAAATGTTTGGGGCTGACCTTGTGAGTGTCTCTCCCCCCAGGCTCCTGTTGTGCTATGCAATCTGGCCAGGCCTGCAGTCTAGGGAAAGATCTGCTGGTGGTCAGGAATGGAGGCCAGTGTCAGGGCCTACAGCTGTCCTGCCAGTAGGGTTGCCACCTGTCCAGGATTTACCCGGACAGTCCGGGTTTTGAATGATGTGTCCAGGTTTCATGGCAGCAGAAACCCGGACACAAGATGTCAGGCAGACAGGGGCAACCAAAATTAAGATAGGGGCTACTGGCCCACCACTGAAAAGAGTCTCAATTGTGATATTTACATATGAATGAGTGGGGTGCTATTTTCATATTAATAAGCCATGACTCATTCTCCCCCAAAAAAATGTCAGCGTTTCACTAGTGTTCGGGTTTCGCTTGAAGAAAAGGTGGCAACCCTACCTGCCAGTGAAAGCTGTTCCTAGGAAGGAGCACCAGGGAGGTGCTGGAGAAGCTGGAATTTAGCTTCGGCTTCACAGGGAGTCTGGTGTCTTGCTCAGGGAGTTCTGTTCTATGTCTGTTAACTAATTAAAGTTCGGCCATACAGTGTGGCTGCAATCGGCTTAAAGTGACACTAAACTCAGAAGTTAATTCTTAAAAATGCATTCAAATACCTTAACTATTAACAAAAACATATCTTATTTGTGTATCACTCAGCTGTAGATCCTTAAATCATCTATGAATTAATGTTGACACTGTCCTTCCTTCTTGAGGGTGGCTTTTGTTCCCCATGGTCCCTGTGTGCGTTGTAAAGTAGCCACCACTCAAAGCTTGCTCCTGAGATGGACTAGAATCTCAATATAAGTTAGTAAACTAAACGTGAGATTGTAGTCCATCATAGGAGTGAGCTTGGAGCAGTGGCTACTTTACAACACACATGGAGACCATGTGGAACAAAAGTAACCACCCTCCAGAAGGAAGGACAGTGTCAGCACTAATTCAGAGATGATTTGAGGATCTACAGCCGAGTGATACACAAATAAGATACATTTTTGTTAATACTTAAGATACTTGAATGCATTTTTAAGATTTAACTCCTGAGTTTAATGTCACTTTAAAGGTTCTCTGCACTGGGAAGTGGTTGGTAAGTCTGGAGTCTGTACTGTCCTAGGCTGCATCTCACAACTGGCTAAGGACTCATCCTTGAGGTGAAATGTCAGCCCACCCTGCTTCTGGGGTCCCTCATATGCTTCTGGACTCCCTCATATGCTTCCGAGGGTCACTGGGTGGTACAGAAGGGCTCTGCTTTAAATGTGAAGTAAACTTTGATGTGGCTTTCACATTTTGCAGGCTTGCTTTTGCATATTTCTATTATTTTACAATATATGGATATTTATTTTACAATAAATGTAGATAATAAATATAGTGTATGCCAAGCCATGACTACTTAGTATTGAAAAGAATGATGAAAAATTATAATGCCTTTCCAGTTTTACATCCATCTGGGGCTCTGTTTGAGAGAATTCCTCTCACTTCCTGTATTGCTGACAACATTGTATATGGACAAGAAGTGAGGGGAACAGCAAGACAAATATGGCTACCCCTATGCACATATATAATTACAAATTACACATGGAAGCAAGATCTATTAGACATCAACAAACTTTGATTAGACTATTCACATTGAGAAAATCGAATTTACATACAGTATATACCTCAAAGATCTTAAAACATATATATACAGTATATATGATTGGTTTTCACAGTAATGGATTACGTTACCCTGAAGTTAACATGCACTTACACTTATTTGCAGAGAGCTGTGACTTGTACTGTCCCCGAACCAATCGGCAGGTGGACCCTTCTCCGTTGCATACTCCACAGCTATCTTCCTTTGCAGTGCTTCCTAGCTGGTGGTCACAACCAACAATCTGCCAACAAAAAGAGAGAGGTATCAAGAGACCTGTAGACTATGACATGGACCAAATAACATGTTTAACCCAGATCATCATCTGAGCTGACACTGAATCTAGAGCGGTATGTGAAGCAAATGATTTTGCCAGAGCAAATAAAAATACACAGTCTGGTTTTATAGGAAATCACAGGTCTCAATTCACTGGTTTCTTGGGATACATTACCAAATGCAGAGGCAATGTACAGTAAAACAGATATGAATGCAAATAAAAGGTTGGATACATAACACAGCTGTACATTCATAGTGGACAATAAATGTAGCTCTAACCTGATGTCTGGCCTAACAGTACTTAAACTAGTGGCTACTGGGGACATGTACTGCCACTAAATATGATCGACTCCAAATTCTTTAAGGTATAGCAACATTTAAACTGTCATGGAATTAGCTGCTTATTGAAAATATATTGATGTGGTCTCAACTTAGCTAGTTTAGCTGCACAGTCACAATTCAGTATTTGAATCCAAGACCATTAGCTGTAAACATTGCCATAACTCTCAAGACCATGGCTATTAGTTTCATGGAATTCTGCATATTTGTTATATTTATAAGCTTTCATTTCTGGAAATCCCCATAAACAACAGATTGAGGAAGAAAACACACTAGTAGAACAGATTGTGTGCAGTATATCTGTACTCAAGTTTATGTATGGAAAAAGACTGTAATGATAATATGGTATGTAGTTACGGGCCTATAATATTTACAACTAAACTTTGCACTGCAGACTCTACACTTTACAACGAAGTATACCATTTTATTTCCAAAAAAACCTTTTCTGAAAAGTTGCCGTTTCTATGCTTCCATAGCGTTAAAAATTGTGTGGGGTTTTTCCCTCGAGACAATGGGGGGCTCACTTTTGGGCAGGTATCATTATTGATAGTGAGATAAACACAACTCTGTATCAAGGTAAAAAAATGCCTACAATATAATTTGATTCTCATTAATAATATATTTACTGGAGTTGATAAATAACAGTTGTTGCTAAGCACCAATGTCAACATTAATGTCTAAATAAAATTTTTTTTTTATCTGTTATTCATAAATAACTAATGATAAAGGATGAGTCCACGAAACAAGAGGAACTCACTTGCCTAATTCCTGGCTCTGTTCCCACTCACTTTTTGGTGTTTGCACTCTTCCTGCTCCCTTTACCATTATGCAAAATAAAAACAATTTAATGACTGCAGTAAATGTGCAGACCAGGGATGTCAAAAATCTCACCACCAGATTCCTGAAGAGATGCACCCAGAGGTGGTTTAACTCTCCAGCACCTACCAAATGCTAAAAATCACTTTTGGATAGACTGACCCTTTATTAAGAAACCAGTCAGGAAAATACATTTGTAAGAACTTGAATCTCCATCCTTAAAATGTTATAATAGTGTAGCCTTATCCCTTAGAGATAGGTATGTGTCCTTCTATTCACTTATTTTCTCTCCCCGTCAGAGCAGAAATGTCAGCTCAGTATCGGACGTCAAGGTCACCACAAAGGCTCCCCTATTTCCCTAAGAAGGTTTAACTAGCACTCTTTCTGTGTTGCCGAACTAATTGTCTGCTGAACTGAACTGTCAATTAGCAAAATCATTCCGTTTTCTTTCACGTAATTCTGACAGCATCTTTATAACATGAGTGTTTATTATCAACACTGAGCTTAGTCATTAGATAGGATAGCCCCGTGAAGTACTTGCACTTTGACAATAACACTAAGAATGCAATTCAATAATCAAAAAATCCCTTAGAGGTAAGATTGCACTATCATAACAACTGATTTTCTTTGAATTAGAATTGATTGTATTCAACTCTGACATCCTGTAGCATGCTTTTACAGCTTTCTCAAGGATAAGGAACAAAATGTGCATTAGGATAATGACTAGTATTATGAAAACAGTGTTAATATGCATGCCATTCCCTCAACTGCTGGTCTGCACTATGTATGTGTTTCCTTTGTTTATAGATTTGTGTTATTTTTACCTCGTTTTACCTGACTTTGCTCATATACTTGGATCCATCTTTGCACATAAATACACCGGTGATGCAAACATTCTTTGGATAAATGCAAGCTGTCACTTTCAATGAAATCATGGTCATGAGGCAGAGAACAGACTGCAGCGTGTTTCCAGTGATGGAGGCCTTGAAAGCCATGCTGGTTCCCCCGCACTTGATGTAACTTCTTTATTTGCGCTTGTGTCAAACATGTAATAGCATACTTGGCCCACAGTTGTTTTTGTGTGTTTGTTTAACAACTGCTCTTTTAGCTGCCTTGTTTTAAGGATTGACCCTTTTCTTCTCCCTGACAGGGGCCCTTATTCCTTTTGGCCTCAGGCAGTCCCACATCTTTAGCTACTGCTGTACCTTGGCTGACCCCATGCAACTGGAGATGATGAGGCAAAAAGAAGGATGAGGCAGTGGCACAGGGGGATACTATGCAATTAGCATCACCAAGAAAACACAGTCTCTTTCTGATTGTGTTCAGAAATGTTCTTTATCATGCTCTTAAACAAAAGCACCCTGAGCCTGAAGTGGTAGTATAAACACTGCATTTGTTCTACAATTTGTTTCTAGATTCTTCCTTGCTTCATCAGGTGGAAGTTGATCACAACGGCCTGGCCTTATTTGATTTCAGATGTTATTTGTCATAACAGTGATGCTTTGTATATACTGTATTTTCCTGTGAGTAATGTTTCATGCTTTAATTGATGGGAGTTATGATGTGGACGGTATTTAAATAATTAGTTCTAATCCTGTTTTCACTGACACACCTGCACATGTAGGGCAATTATTCTCACACAGTCATTTGTTGCTACCAAGACATTTCTTGGTGTACACATAGCCTTTGTACAGTTTAAGAAATGTTACTATGTCCATGACATTTCTTATGTTTCCAAGCTTTGTTTATAGCAATATCAGTGTTTTCAGATGTCCTACCACATCAGAATACTATGCAATGATGTCACTTTTTAGTGTTTCTACTAGATGTGAGAGACATCGCCCCGGAATACTGCAGTATATACAATTGCTGCTCCCACTATTGGCTGTGAAATGCATGACTGAAACACTTGCGTCAAGTGGAGCTGTGTCACGGAGTTCAGTGGACCCTCTCAGGGTTATTCACAAAAGGGTGAAGAGTTTGGAGAAGGCAGAAGAAGAGAACAATCTAGGCCAAAATAGCTGAACTGGAAAGTGAGCTGAATTGGAGGATTTTTTCAAATCAGCTATTTTGGCCTAGATTGTTCACTTCTCCTGCCTTCTCCAAACTCTTCATCCTTTTGTAAATAACCCTGACTGTGTCACCAGGAGTGGGAGCCAACTAACAGGCAGGAAAGATGCTAGAGTGGTCCCCAGTCAGATGGTCAGCACAAATAGTACACTGTAGCAGAGTCAGCACACTGTTGCCCAGATCGGGTGCAGACAAGTTGATCCTAAACAGAGTCTAGGTGCCAGACATAAACCTGAACAAAGTAATGACTGACAATAACTGAGACAACAGCCTGATGATCAGCACAGACAAACACATCGAAGAAGTAGGGCATGAGCACACAGGCTAACCTATTGATGAGGCCCAGTCTGACTGTCCCACAGTCTAATTAACCCTCTTGGTTAGATTAGGTGTGCACTGCAGAGACCTGATCTGCAGTTTTGAGTAACGACCAGCAGATAGTGAAAGCCTAAAGAAGAATTCCAGGAATTAAAAAAACTTACCCTCAGGGCAGGTTCACACCATTTTCCGGACCAGATCTGGTCCGGAAAATGGTGTGAACTGCCCGCAGTTCCAGTGCATTCCAGACCAGACAAAATGAAACATGCAATATTTTTCTGGTCTGGTCTGGAACGGACTGCGCTGGTGTGAACAGAGGCCAGAAATAGCACTGGGATACATTAGGATGCATTTTGGGTCCGGAAACAATCTGGTCTGGTCTGGAGTTGATCTGGATGTGGTGTAAATGGGCCCTCACAGTGGGGCTACCCCTGCATTGCAAGGGTTTAGTGATCGTTTTGTCTAGGGGAGTCAAATATGCTTTGGTTCACTTTGTGTCACCCTGTTGAGTTAGTAAACTAAAGCCCAATGCCAGAAACACTGTTTTATTTAATTTTAGATGGGGAAAGTAAGAGCTTCTGTCTGGTTTCTATTGCTGCCTTTGTCTCTTTGGCCAGAGGTCGCCTCCTTGCTTTCAGGACAGAAAGTAATAGGATATTTCTCCAATGGGGACACAGTCAAAAACACCCCCAAAATAATAATGATATAAAACAGTTTAATGTGTAAAAACCCTACAAAAAATTGACAAACACGTATAGTTTTTCTATAACCCCTGATTAATCACTGATTCATCCCTAATTAAATTAAAAAAACCCTAATTTACTTTTTCCTTATCATTCTCTCGTTAGCTAGTTGTTGTCACTGTTCTTTTTTATAAGTATTAGATCGTGTAAGTTACATCCTCCTACAATCCAAGTTTATCCCAGTGAACTTTGTATTTATGAATACATACTTTCCCAAGGGTGGCTAACATTGCAACGGAATCAAATAATTGTATTACATTTGCACAGTAAAAACTGTTCCACTTGCCATGGTTTTGAATGTTATCCAGTCCTAATCTACAAGTGTAATCAGTGTCATTATTGTTATTCCCTGACATTTCCCACCCAGTATTGTTGGGTAACATATTGCAGAACCTCTGGCCAAAGAGGATTTAACTAAAACGCTGTCTAAAAGTTTTCCTATTAAAAAGCAACCACAACATTTTACATATAAAGAAGAAGAGATAACTGCACAAAATTTAAAGAGGACCAGTCACATTTTAAAATAAATTAAGAAAAAAAAGACAGTTATGTTAGGTTATGATGTCATAAAGTTATGATGTTGAACTATAATGCAGAAAACACTGTTCCTGGCTCCCACTGCAGTCAGTTATGTCACCACATATATAGGTATTGGAGCTCAGACAAAACCAATAATTGCCCA